CAGTTCGGCGCCGTAGCACTTATGACACTGCGGTGATTTCCCTTATGACACCTCCGTTTGACTTCTCAAGGCGATATGTCGTTTTCTCGGCCTCGAGCCAGCAGTCAGAGCGCAGGCATTTTTACGACTGCAGCGACGGGGAATTGAACCTGGGACCACGAGGATAAGGATAAGTCCGATATGCGAAGCTGAGCCTCGCCCGGGCTATGGGGGAGCCCGGCCTGTGCCGACTAATGTCGACTCGCTAACAGTGTGTCAGCAGGTGCTGACTCGGGTAAGCTTAGTCCTTACCTGCCGTGGTGTCCAGCCACAGCAGTAACCTCCAGGCGACAATTGCAACTTCTCGCGCCTAGACCACGAGGGTCGGAGTCCAGTGCTCTAACCACTGAGCTATCGCGGCAGTCTCATATGTATATATATATATATATATATATATATATATATATATATATATATATATATATATATATATATATATATATATATATATATATATATATATATATAGTATATATATATGTATATATATATGTATATATATATATATATATATATATATATATATATATATATATATATATATGTATGTATATGCATATACACACATACTTGTATATGTTTACATTGCCTAAAAGCACAATAACTTCCGCCATTCACTAAATCAAAACTAGATCACTAAAAAAGAAAAAAGAAAAAAAGGATAAAACACACAATAACAAAAATAAGCGAATGGAAGAGCAAAGAAGACTTTTAGACATACCTCACATTCTCGCGGACTACAGTGCAGTGTTCTGCAGAATGGCGTGAGGTAGGGAGTGTACCTGAAGACGGGGCGGGGTGAGGAGAGGGGGAGAGGGGGAGGGGAGAGGGGGTTAGACAAGTGCAACCGTTATATGTCATGCGTGTGAGGGGCTAGGGGGTAGGGGAAGGGGAAGGGGGGGGAGGGTAAACAAGTGTAGCCGGTACAATAGTGAAATAGAAGTACATGACCAGAACAAAAGAACTATATTGTGTTAGCTTCACTTCGACAGCATTTGATATTTCATCGCGGCGTAGTGGCCACACCGCAAAAAAAAAACACATAAACACAACCATATATTTCTAAACAAACGCAAAGAATTGAACACTTTACAACAACAACAATTTGCAACAACGCACGGGATTTTCAACACGAAGAGTCCCGAGGAAAAAAAACTGACTTATCTTACAATAATCAACCACAAAAATTCATGACATAATCTTACAACAATTAATCATACAGTAATTCTTATAATAATTCATGACATAATCATATAGTCATTAATCATACGGTGATTTTTGATGACGTTTCAAAGGAATAGTTCCTCCACGTGAACACCACGAGGGCGAAGCGGGCGGGAAACATTCGCTTTGGGATGTTATGTATTACTCCGGGAGCATTAGGGAAAAAAATATAGGGTTTTAGTGCAATATTTAGATAAGAGCTGAAATTTAGAACATATTCAATACATTCAATACTTGCATATTCAATACATTCATTTACTTTGAATTATTGATTTCAATTCTACGAATGTCTTCTACATCAGTTATGAAGAATATGCAGTGATCTATATTGGCTGAATCTGTTGTATATAGATTCATAAAATAATTATCTGTAACATTTACCTAAAGGGACAACTTTTAATATATACTCCAGAGAAGTTATAAAGTCTTAAATAATTATACAAAAAAAATCAAATACGCCTATATTCCTCTGCAACTTTTAAACTAGAATGTTTCAAAACCGTCATGCAACGATACCCCGAATTATCATTGCTTGAGAGGCTGTTTGGGTATCAGGCGAAACTACAGGTGGTTAACGTGCCCGGTGATTATTTCCAGGCGAAGAAGGAACAGGGGTATGCATGTCCACCATTGCACGAGGGAAGCAGTCGGGGAACAGTGTACAGCAGGGGTGTGCAACCTTTTTTCCCAAAGGGCCACTAGTCGCGACTCTGTTGGTATGGAGGGCCACATAACCTTACTATTTCATGTTATTTACTACGGTCGAAGACATTTTGCTTGCAAATTTTCTAAAGTCAATCACAAAACTGCAACATTAACAACTTACAGTATGTACTGGTAATCACAAATCAACCACAACCAATGAAGTCACAACGGAGACTGGTGAGGCAGCGGTACTGACAGGCGAGAGCACACGTACCATACTACAGTACGTGAACCATACGTGTCAGACTCATAGACAGACAGCCAATGATCACTCAATCTAATCATTAAAAATGTCAAGTAATATATTATTTTCTGTTCTAATATCATTAAAATCTGTAACTTAGTGAACGAAATAGAAAAAAATATGGTGATACTGGTACACGAGAATATGAATTTTGTCAAACTTTCGGTGGGCTCTACTTGGTAACTCTCTCTCTCTCTCTCTCTCTCTCTCTCTCTCTCTCTCTCTCTCTCTCTCTCTCTCTCTCTCTCTCTCTCTCTCTCTCTCTCTCTCTCTCTCTCTCTCTCTCTCTGAGGGCCGCACTATAGTTTATTTATTTTTAGGAGAAAGGGCCGCAATGAAAGCCTTTGAGGGCCGCAGGTTGCACAGGGCTGGTGTACAGTGAAGAAAA